CTGTGGTCCCAGCTACTTGGGAGGCGGAGGCAAGAGACTCGCTTGAGCCCAGGAGTTGGAGGTTGCTGTGAGCTGTAATGCCTCGGCACTCTACCCAGGGGGACAGCTTGAGGCTCTGTCTCAAAAAAATAAAGTCAGTAACTTCAACTAAAAATAAAACTTTCATATAGCAGTTCATTGTACTATGAACAAACAAAAACCCAATGAAAAAAATGGGAAAGGATCCAAATAGATATTTCTCTAAAAAAGACATACAAATCCCCAGCATCACTAATTATTAGGGAAATCCAAATCAAAACCACCAAGATATACCACTTCACATCCACTAGGCTGGTTATTTTCCATAAGGAAAAAAGGAGGAAGAAAATCAGCTTTGGCAAGAACGTGGAGAAACTGGAACCCTCGGGCACAGCTGCTATGGAAGGTATTATGGCAGTTCCTCAAAAATGTAGATATAAAATCACCATATACAGGTATTTCAGCAATTCCACTTCTAGGTATATACCCAAAAGAATGGAAAGCAGGGTCCTAAACAAATCCTTGTAAACCACGTTCACATCAACATTACTCAAGATAAACGGAGACACAATCAAGTGTCCATAGACAGATAAATAGGTTAAGTAAAATATGGTCTATACACAAGTAGAGTATTATTCAGCTTAAAAGATGAAGGAAACGCTGACACATGCTAAAACGTGGATGAACTTTGAGGACATTATGGTAAGTAAAGTAAGCCAGTCATAAGACAAATACTGCAAAGCTCCAGTCACATGAGGACCCTGAAGACATCAAATTCATAGAAAACAGAGAGCAGAATGGTGGGTGCCAGATGAAAGAGATGGGTGGGGAGTCAGTATTTAATGAGGACGGAGTTTCTGTTGGGAAGATGAAGAGTTCTGGAAATGGAGCAGTGATGGTTGTGTAACATGAATGTACTGGTCAATGAATATACACTTGAAAATGATCAAAATGGTAAATTCTGTGTTCTATGTATTTTTTTTCTTTTTTCCTTTTTGAGACGGAGTCGCATGATGTTGCCCTTGGTAAGAGTGCCTGCCGTGGTGTTGCAGCTCACTTCAACCTCAAACTCTTGGGCTCCAGCGATTCCCTTTTCTCAGCCTAAGTAGCTGGTACTACAGGCACCTGCCACAATGCCTGGCTATTTTTCTTTTTCTTTTTTTTTTTTGTAGTTGTCATTTAGCAGGCCTGGGCCAGACTCAAAACTGCCCTGGTGTATATGGCTGGCACTGTAACCCCTGAGCTATGGGCGCCAAGCCAATGTTCTATGTATTTTACCACAAAAAATTACTACAATAAAGTTTTTTTGTTAAACAAAATATTTCTATATTCCACAAACAAGTCTAACAGAGAAACAATAGAAAACTTGCAACATGGCTGGAAGTGGTGGCCCACACCTATAATCCCAGCACTTGGGAAGCCAAGGTGGGTGGACTGCCTCAGCTCACAGGTTCAAGACCAGCCTGAGCCAGAGCAAGACCTCATCTCTAAAAATAGTCAGGTGTTGTGGTAGGCACCTATAGTTCCAGCTACTAGGGAGCCTGAGGCAAGAGAATAGCCTGAGCCCTTGAGGTTGCTGTGAGCTGTGGATGGCATTGCACTCTATCAAGGGCGACAAAGTGAGACTCTGTCTCAAAAAAAAGGAAAAAAAAAAACATGAAATATAAATAGCTGTTAAACAAGCCTAAGGAGACAGATGAGGCCTTTCACAGACTGCTCTCACCTCCCACATGGAAAGACAATCAGCTTCAGCATAAACAGAAAATGCAAACCGAGGCTCGTTGCCTATAGCACAGTGGTTATAAAGCCAGCCACATGCACCAAGGCTGGCGGGTTCAAGCCCAGTCCATGCCAGTTAAAACAATGACGACAACTGCAACAAGAAAATAGCTGGTCATTGTGGCAGGTACCTGTAGTCCCTGCTACTTGGTAGGCTGAGGCAAGAGAATCACTTAAGCCCAAGAGTTTGAGGTTGCTGTAAGATGTGACATCACAGCACTCTACAGAAGGCGACATAGTGAAACTTGGTCTCTAAATAAATAATAAAAATAAAAAATAAAATAAAATAGAAACTGAACAGAGACCTTTTGGTCTAGCGGAGAGGGAGACTGCTGCTTCTATTGGCAGAGATGATGGCAATGACATGCCTTTGACCCAGCAGTGTTACATGCCATGGAACACCCACAGAGGCAGGCCCATCACACAGGCAAACCCACCACAGGGCATGCTTACCCAGTGTTAATAGTGTGAAAGAACACATCTGACACTAAGTAGGTGTATGAATTTTTTCCTTCAAATATCTTAAAAAGGGCTTAGGCCTGTGGCTTAAGCAGCTAAGGCACTAGCCACATATACCTGAGCTGGTGGGTTTGAATCCAGACCAGGCCTGCCAAACAACGACAGCTGCAACTAAAAAATGGCTGGACGCCTGTAGTCCCAGCTACTTGGGAGGTAGAGGCAGAAGAATTGCTTAAGCCCAAGAGTTGGTTGTTGTGAGCTGTGATGCCATCGCACTCTACCCAGGGCGACAGCTTGAGGCTCTGTCTCAAGAAAACAAACAAAAAGGAACAGGCTCGGCGCCTGTGGCTCAAATGGCTAAGGCTCCAGCCACATACACCTAAGGTGGCAGGTTCAAATCTAGCCTGGGCCCACCAAAACAACAATGACGGCTGCAACCAAAAAATAGCCGGGTGCTGTGGCGGGCGCCTGTGGTCCCAGCTACTTGGGAGGCTGAGGCAGGAGACTTGCTTGAGTGCAGGAGTTGGAGGTTGCTGTGAGCTGTGATGCCACGGCACTCTACCCAGGGGGAAAGCTTGAGGCTCTGTCTCGAAAAAAATAAATAAATAAATAAATAAAATGATGTGTGTGTGTGTGTGCATATATATAATACAAAGGAACAAAAAACAATATCTTAAATAGAAGCTCCCACCCAGCACCCCTCTTCATTCCCTGGTGTTGATCTCTGGTGAGTGCAGTCTTGGACATTTCAAGGTATATATAAATACATCCACGAATGGATATACTTTTCTTCCAACACAAACAGAAAATCATATTATATACACTACTCTAACTGGTTTGGGTTTTTTGTTTTATCAGAGACAGAGTCTCACTCCATCACCCAGACTACAGTACAGTGGTGTGATCATAACTCACCATAGCCTCAAACTTCTGGACTCAAGCCATTCTCCTGTGTTGGCCTCCCAAATATTAAAATTACAGGCTGAACCCTGCCACATTTACTTTTTGTACAAAAAGGAAACGACCTTCCCTAAGCTTCACCCACATTGCATGTATGATTTGTCACAAGTGCCCTCAACACTTACGATGGCCCCAAGTTCCTAAGGGGAAGGGTGGATGTGACACATGACTGGCCCTTGGCTTGAGGCCTGTACACCCCATAGGTAGGCACACAAACCCAAATGCACACTGTATCTCAATCACTCTCTGTAATGGAACAGAAATCTTATAATCTGTCAAGTCTGCTTATCTCACCCAAAGCACTTATAAAGGATCAGCTTTTCATATTTCTTTCTTTTTTTTTTTAAGAGACAGAGTCTCACTTTATTGCCCTTGGTAGAGTGCTGTGGTGTCATAGCTCATAGCAACCTCCAACTTCTGGGCTTAGGTGATTCTCTTGCCTCAGCCTCCCCAGTAGCTGGGACTACAGGCACCTGCCACAATGCCCAGCTATTTTTTTGTTGCAGTCTGGCCGGGGCCAGGTTTGAACCCACCACCCTCAGTATATGGGGCCGGCGCCCTACTCATTGACCCATAGGTGCCGCTCAGCTTTTCCTATTTCTTTGAGTTTTTTGTTTTTTAAAAGCAAGGACAGCTCTTCGTCCGTAGTTCAGTGAGTAGGGGCACCAGCCACATACACCGGAGGCTGGTGGGTTCAAGCCCAGCCTGGGCCTGCTAAACAACAAGGACAACTGCAACCAAAAGTAGCCAGGCACTGTGGTGGCCCCCTGTAGTCCCAGCTACTCAGGAGGCTGAGGCAAGAGAATTGCTTAAGCCCAAGAGTTTGAGCTTGCTGTGAGCTATGACACCATGGCACTCTACCCAGGGAGACATAGTTAGACTGTCTCAAAAACAAAACAAAACGGGGTGGCTCCTGTGGCTCAAAGGAGTAGGGTACCAGCCTCATACGTTGGAGGTGGCGGGTTCAAACCCAGCCCCAGCCAAAAACTGCAAAAAAAAAAGCACGTATTAATTTTATAATCAGAAAACAAAATGTTTAAACGCCATCTGTAAGGAACTATTACATGACAAATTCTCACCTGGCTCAGCCTCATGTCCATTAGGGTATTCCTTGCCTGGCCGATCTTCCTCATGTCCAGCTCACCTGTGCCAGGTGTCATCAATCCTGGTGTCATTCCACCTGGATATGGGGTATTCAGTCCCCCTGGATAGGGTGTATTAAGACCTCCAAATTGCTGTGCAGGGGAAAGGACAGAATAAAATGTTGGCTTGTGCAAACATGCTGAAAAACCTTCTTCTCTCTGAAATCTTTCCACTGTGGCCTGACATGTGCAGAGTGGTGCGAACAGACCTGACACAATACTGCCACTATGCTAAATTACTAACGTGACAATGCCCACCATCCCCACAGTGGTCTGTGTAACCAGACTAAGGGAGTCCCATCTGTCTCATCTTCTCAGATGCTCACAGTTTGTCGGGGGTCCACTGAAGTATGGTTCTCTCCAGTCTGTAAGTGTTTGGCAAAGAAACTGTCAGGAACAGGGGTCAGCTTCTCATAGCGTGGGTTCCGCTGGCGTTTGTTTCTAGCATCGCCAACCTCAGGGATGCTCAGCCACTCTTCTTCTGTGACTTCTGCCAACTTCCTCTGGAGACATCCATCACCCAAATCATTAATTCTCTGGCAGAATTTCACATGCACAGGTAGACCCAAGCTCTCATTCAGCCCCAGCAACTACATCATCACCCTTCAAGAAGGATTTCTTCTTTTTTTTGTTTCTTTGGGGGGTTTTTTGAGACAAGAGTCTTACTCTGTCATCCTGGATAGAGTACCACAGTATCATCATAGCCTACAAAAAACCTCAAACTCTTGGGCTCAAATGATCTTCCTGCCTCAGGCTCCTGAGTAGCTGGGACTACAGGTGCCTGCCACCACACTCAGCTAGTTTTTTCTGCTTTTAGTAGAGACGAGGTCTCTCTTATTCAGGCAGGTCTCAAAACTCCTGAGTTCAAACAAACCACCTGCCTCCCCCTCCCAGAGTGCTGGGATCACAGGCATGAGCCACCACACCCAGCTTTTAGAAAAGATTTTGATAGATATGATTTTGATAGAAATGATTTTTTACTTCACTTAGAAAAACCAATTTATTGGATATGTTCTGCATCACTAAAATATAAATGATTCTATTAAAGCCCAAAAGACATAGTTAAGAAAACCATATGCACAAATGGAATCAAAATTATAAAGAAAGTTCATTTGTCCCACTGTTAATGGTAGGGGAAGGATAAGGTTTTTTTCACACACATGTACACATAATTAAACATACTGAAGCAAGGGCCTTCTTCTTCTAAGCAATAACCCTGAATTAAATATAGAGCAAGTTAATAAAGTCTCATTAATTCCACACCAGGAAAGTCTGCTTCACTACTGATTATGGTAAGAGCACTAGAAATAGCCATTCCATCTACTTACTTTTAGATCTGAGAACTGCTGTTGGATTTTAGGGCGTTCCATACGATATTTCTCAATTTCTTCTTTCTCTCTTTGCTCCCTAGGAAATAAAACGTGCACACATTAGAAATAGTGGATGTTGGCTCGGCGCCTATAGCTCAACAGGCTAAGGCGCCAGCCACGTACACCAAAGGTGGTGGGTTCAAATCCCCAGCCCGGACCCGCCAAACAAC